CTCATTACCCGAAATCTTTTTGGTCGTTCGGTAAATTACCTAACTCTCCGGAAACTACATCGCTATCTTCGGACCTTTAGTCCGGATGCAGTAATATAATTTCCGGAGAGTTAGGTAATTTACCGAACGACCAAATTATGATAATAGCTGAAATTTTATAAAATTTTATAGATGAAATTTAAAAAAAAAAGCCGGCCGGCCGGGTCTATTTTTAAAATTTCATGTTATAAAAACCAAGTAATTAAATTTGTATGGCCTAATGATCAAAATTTTAATTTTTTTTACTGTACTGTATTAAGTATACGTATATATTTTTTGAAGCTAAAAGCGATGTTTGTGCCAATTTTTTACTTGTGTAATGTTAAGTCCTTAATATAAATTAGTCAGCCGGGGTGACTGATTTACATTGGCCATTCAAGTAAATTTCTGCCTCTGTGCCGACTGCCCCAAAAAATTATCATAATTTTGGCCAGAATTAATCTGTTTATCGTAAACATTTCGACATCAAATATTAAGACTCTAAATTTTTTGCTAAACATTCCGATTGTTTTTTTTTAATCGAATAAGATAATTAGTATAAATAAGTTTATGCTAAAGGAGAAATAATAATGCATTATAAAATGGTTTGAATATAACAAATATACATGTTTGTGTTTCGCAAAACCAAACATCATAATAATCGTCACTATAGTTGTTATGTTCATATCAATCAATATTCACACACAATACCTCTGCACCCAATTTCTAAGTCATTTACAATAAAACTAAAAGAATAAATAAATACTAGTTTGTAAATAAAATACAAATACATATGAAGTAAAAATAAAAAAAAAATGAAAGGAATTATTATTTAATCGAAAAGTAATAAAGCAATCAATCAAAATTCTAAAACGAAAGTGCTCTCATAAATTTGCCCATTTCTTTTATTAACAGCGGTAGCCTTAACTTCCATAGTACCAAATGTTAGAGTAAATTCAACCAATCTATTTTTTCCTCGATGTGGATCAGGTAAATCAATTTTCATTTTTCCTAACATTTTCATTCCATCTTCATCACAATATTTTGCGTTATTATCAGGAGTAATATATATATTAAAAGTCATATCAGTTTGATTAGGAACAACAGGACCAGCAGTATAAAAGAATTTTTGATCGACGGCAACTTCAACACCTCTTAATGCTAGTCGATGGAATTTGAATATACGGCCGGAAGGTGTACGACGTTCTGGTGGATCATGTTTTTCCCACTTCGCGCTTACTTCTACACCGTAACAGAATTTTAAGACTCGAGTTTGGACAATATCCATATTTAAACCATATTCTAAAGCACCCCGCTCGATGGCTTAATGTGAAAAAACAATAGAAATGTTTATTTAGTAATTCAATTATGAGGATATGAGAATGAGAAATTATATGAACAAGAAGGAATGTTAGAAAAATTTTTAATACCTGCTATAGGATGTTTAGGAACGGCAATAATTGGGATTTGAGTTGCAAAATGTCGTCTAATTTGAGTTTGTAAATATTGACTTTCACTAAAACCACCAACTAAAAACATAGCAGCGCATCTACGTTCAGTTGACGCACATTGCCTTTGAATCAAATCAATAATCTTTTTAACAACAGGATCAAACATATCTTTCACAGTTTGATAATCTAATTCAATCAACCATTCAGCATCTTCCATTTGATCTTTGGCCTGACCGGTAACATATTGCATCAATGCTGGACATATACGTTCAATATCTAATTCCTTTGGAGCATATTCATTAGGATTTCCATTAAAAGAAAATTTTACTCTTGAACAAAATTGTTGAACTAAATATTGCATTTGACCATAATGATTTTCTTTTAATTTTTTCATTGCAGCGAAACCTAATTTTCTACCAAGGAATTTAAGGAATTCACGATCAACATAAGAACTACCGCATAGATCACCACTACGTTCAGTAATTTCACCAAGTTTCATGCTGGGTAATAAAGTTCTGGTTGTAAGATCCACAGTTCCTCCTCCGCAATCAACGATTAAGAATGAAGCTAATAAAAAAAAACAAAGATTTTTTGTGTTATGGTCGCACAATAATATATAATAAAAAATAATCGATGAAAATAAATAATAGATATATATTTACACCCAACTGATAAATGATGCTCATTTAAAGTTTTCATACAATAAATTGCGGCAGCCTCAGCTGAAAATAAAACGGAGAAAATATATAAATTAAACACACATATAGAAATATATATATAATATGTTATAAAATTAAATTATAAATTCAATGAATTACAGTAAATTTTTACATACGTTCAGTTGTAAACTCCAAATTTTCAGATTGCCTATGTTCCAAGTAACCCGCATTATACATACATTCTCTCATAATTGCTTTCGCTTCATATTGCCTTTTTTTTTAAAAAAAAAAAAAAAATTAGAATATTGATACCTAGCATATAAAGCATCAGAAATGAATAACTAACCATTCAGCAGGTACAGATACCACAAATCGAACTTGTTGAGGATACCGTATACCTATGTATTTAAAGACAAGTCAATCAAATAAATTCACATTCACATTCTGTTTCGAATATTAATAAAAAAATATAGATTGTGTCACCTGGCCATCGAGAATTTAATGTTTCTAAAATGAGCTAAAAAAAAAATGAATGGTACGAAAATTAATTAAAAATTTTTGTTTAAAATAGTCAGTGTCGAATAAATAATAAATAATAAATAATTAACATTTCTTTACTTTGTTCATCTCATGTAAATAATCAGTAATGACTCTCTTTGCATCTAAGCCTGGAGGAAGCGGAGGTTTATCCTCTTCTTTTATACCAGCAAGATGTAATTTGAATAATTCTACTGGTTTAGGCTGCGGCTTAGCTAATGCCTTTCTTTTCTTTGGAGGTTCTTGAGCTAGGGCAGGGTAACCCCACGCTACAAGTTGTAAGTTGTCATCATATGCTAATACAGTGTTTGTTTTAAATACTCCAGCCTGCTCTGGCCTAACATTAGTTATCGAAAATTATTTAAAATTTTTAATATATATCTTTTCTGATGAAAAACTCCGAATCGTGTATACACTACCACTATAAATAATGATATGATGTAATTCGATTAATAACTTATTTATATCTGAAAAAAAAATCACACATTCGAACAATGTTGAACACTGATCAAACTGAATAATGGACCTAAAACTTGATTTATTCAACTTGTATAAAAATTTATAAATAATCGGATGTCCAACACTGCCTCTGTGTATGATATTAAACTTTTAACTTACAGTATCGTTGGTGATAGTTTCTGGATTAATCTTGTTCGAATATGCAAATCCTACATGTCAAAAAAAAGATTAATTCGCTTTAATAACCAATTATCATATAAATATGCATGTATTTTGTTTTTTTTTCTGACCTGAAAAGGTCGTTCCAAAATCTAATAATAAAATATCGAGTCGATTAGTATAACTACTCAAGTATTTCAAGATATTTCAAGATACAGATAATAATACTATGCATACCAATAGCTACAACGATCCGAATATCTGGTCTTGCCATATTGCCTTTAAATTGCCAAGAAAATCCCTACCAGCTTGAATCGCAAAAATATATATATTTAAGCTGGTTATATATTTTTTTTTGAGAAAGGAGTGGTTATTGAGAAAGGTTTATAACAGAGAATTTCCTTTCGCGTTAAGAAGGGGGGAGAAAAGAATATGGAATTAAAGCCTCACACCAGGTGTAGTATTACCTGCTCTGGAACTTTTATGACTAGTGCGGACCGAAAAGAGAATTCTCCGGAAACAAGTTTTATGCAATATTAGAAAGTAGTGATACTGATTTTTCTTATTTGTACCAACGAACTTCCTTTATCTGTTTGTGACGCAAAGTACTCAAATAAATTGTAGACAATTTATAAAAAGTATTGCTATTTATTAAATGCACATCGGTTCAGTCCTCCGACCGGAATGAATGAAAAGTTGTTCGACGGCAATGTTTACAAATTATAGTGTGTTACAATCAACATTTTAGACTAATTCAGTAATAAAAAATTCAGCTAACATCTTGGAAGCAGCTGATTATATATTGAGCAAAATTAATGAATATGGAAAGATTTCTCACTCGACAGAAACTTTAAAAATAGTTCAGTATTTTTAGGTGATGGAAAGTTAATCTACTGAGAATCCCTTACAAATAACTTTGTTATATATATATATATTTACTCCCTATATATACATTCTATACAACTCTCCTTATACATTCTATACAATTCTATCCTTATACATTCTATACAACTTTATCCTTGTACTGCAAGGTGTTTACTGGCAAATTTGCTTGAATAAATCATATCAATATGTATCATTGTAACATGTATCGTAATTTGTCTCGATAACCATCTTTAAACTTGTAACATTCATTATATGTTTCTAAGGACTCCAAAAATATTTAACAGTGATTTGCAGAAATTTCTAGAGCGGTTTATTATATCAGAAAAAGCCCCATACATCCAGTGTATCACGAGTATATTGTAGTACTGATGGTAAATGACCTTGGTCATTTGAAAATTTTTTAAATGACCTCAAATGACTAGCCATTTACTGGGGGTCATTTGGGAGTCATTCGAGTATTAATAGTGAAACTTAAAAGTATCGGAATACGTAGTCATTTGGATCATTTGCGCATGAAATAATTTTACTGGTCAATATATAATACGTATATACAAAAAAATTATTGAATATTATTTACTTTCCTAATCGATGGCCATAGGTAATTTATTTGATTATATTTTTTACATATAAAATTATTATCTGATGACCAATTCTGATTGGTTAAACGTACTAGAATATTAATTAACATACGTACGTTAAATGACTTTCTAAGTCATTTAAGTTTTGAAATGAACCAAATCATTCGGGTCATTTTAACCACCACAGAAGATCATAAAATTGCCATCCGAAAAAAGAAAACCAAAAAAAAAATTCGAAAGTATAAAATACAGCAGATTGTATAAAAGTCGAATTCGTGTTTTTTTTTTAAATTATTTGCATAACTGAATATAACAATACGTTAAAGTTAATAAATGAAAAATACTAATTGTATCGATTATTATGTTCAAGTTCCTGCAAACAATAAATTAGAAAAGGATTTTTCTGTATACGTATTATGTAACGATTGACGTAAAAATATATTAAAATAAAAATTCTATATAATTATGCTTAGCATTGCTTTCTCTTAATGTCATAAAGACTTGATCAATAATATTTACGTATGTGATCAAACTTAACATTTTTATTTGTCGGGACCATTTCATTTAAAATTAATTAAAATTAATTCTTCATTGATTGTTACTTATTTGTTATTGTTATGACAAACTAAGAATTTATACGTATTTAAATTCTTGTGATTTATACATTCGTAATAAGTAAGTTGGCTTAATTTCTAATGATTTATTTTCAAGGCAGAAGAAAAAATTTCACATAGCTTCTATTATCACTGATCTCAGCTACTTTTATATAAGTAAAAACCTCTTAGATAATACATGTAATAGAATATACTGTATATGGGTCTTTGTCTAAATCACGTTATATGATTTACTATTAATATATCCATAACGTGATTTTCAAGTACGTATGTATGTATGTAGGTAGCTACACAGATCGACCTGACCATCTATACCATGAGCATCTACAGTACCTAAATTTAAGCTAAATCTATGCTTGATCGATCATTTAATATATGCATCCCGATTTTTCTGATATATTCATTTTTTACTTGCTTTGATTTTCTTCAATATATATACTAAGCTTTAATCAGTCAAATTTTTCGATTTTATCGTCTAGATCTAAATCAGAATACGGACGATGCTGAACCTATAAACTATAGATTTGGACCAATTGATCATTGAACTTAAAACTGTCCGGTATGTCTGAATGGACTTAATGTTAGAGAAAATTTTTGATTTAGCCTAATAACAGCATTACCCGTTCGCGGATGACCCGCGTGACACCCGTTCAGATAGGCCAAAATAAGCTTTAGTTGAACAACAAAATCGTACAACAATGCTTAAAAGCCTTATATTAAATTTAACTATGTAGTTATTATACTCTAAAAACAGTCGACTTTTGAAAAAAAAACCTCTTAAAATAAAAGAAACGCTCTGATAAGTTACGTTAAAGTTTCAGAATCAGTGGATGAAAGATATAATGACGTAAAAAACGTTTGAAACTAACAATTAATAACGATACGTATTTTATTAACTGTTAATAACAGGTACGTAACAATAACGATAAATAGAAAACATATACCTTATCGGGGTTCTCTTAAAGTAAAAATATTAATATATTAAAAACCGGAAAATTCCACTTAAAGAACTTAGGGACCAATGACGTTATCTTGCGGATTTTGTTGTACATTCATGTGTACAGTCGCCACTGAAAATATTTTTGTTTCACAAACAATTATAAAAGGGTGCGGTTTCGTTTGCTTTTTACACATATTTTACTGTTTGTATTTCGAAATTAATCAAAATTTTTCAAGCATGAATAAACTTTTACCTTGTCCTGCTACAATGATAAGAGACTCTCACCTCAGCGAGAATGAAAATGAACAGCCTGATAAGTTGCTTCTTCGTCTCGCTACAGAATTTAAAAGACCTTTCACTGGTTGGGACTATTCCTACTTTAAAGGTCGTATGGAAGAGAAACAAGCTGAACTACCTTGGAATTATGAAAATACTGTTAGAGAATTTTTACCTAATTGTACAGGTCTTTTAGAAATAAATACTGGCGAGGGTGAGTTTCTTGCTTCGTTAAGCCCACTACCAGAAATCACTTGCGCGACTGAAAATCGTTTACCCAACATTGACGCTGCAAGGCAACGTTTAAGACCATTTGGAGTAACCGTAACTGGTATATTAATATTTATTTGCCAAGATATTTATTTGTAACGCGTTTTTTTTTTAAATTTTGTTACTGATCGTAACATACAATTTTTTAGCTGTCACTGACTATGATGTTCGACTCCCACTTGACGATTGTAGATTTGATCTAATTATTAACCGCCATGAATCTTATATCCCTCATGAAGTTTATCGACTTCTTAAACCGAATGGTATATTCGTTACACAACAAGTAGGCGAAAAAGATAGTATGGAATTGAACCAATTATTGAACGCACCAGAATGTCTTGGACATCGTGAATGGAATTTAGAACACGCTTGTAATGAATTAAAAAATAATGGATTTGAAATTTTAGTGAAAAATGAAGCGTTTATAGAAACTAGATTTTATGATGTTGGTGCGATCGTGTATTATTTGAAGGCTGCTCCTTGGCAAATTAAAGATTTCTCTATTGAAAAATATTCTGAACAACTTATTAATTTGAATCATTTAATTCAAAATGAAGGGTATCTTCCAGTTCGGAGTCATAGATTTTTTATTGTTGCTAAAAGGTAATATTTAAATAATTTTTAGAGTACTAGAAAAAAACATCATCATTGATTTGAAAATCACATTACAAAAAAACTACCGAATAGTAGTTAATCGCAATAGAAGGTTGATTTACGCAATTATCTTGTTTGCGTATTAATTAAATTAATCTGAGTATTTCTCAACCTTCAACAAAATAGGAATCCGAATTAACTAGGTTATACCTAACATTAGCGCATCTTTCCACGTTTCTCTTCATAATGCATTTTATTCTGTATAATTTAACATTTGTAGTTTTTCCATGTGTATTACTAGCAGCTTTATATTACGATTTATATGATTTGATCGTTTGTATCAAAATTATTTTACAATTTTCACAAAAATGAAATATATTACAATAAATTCAATAATAATTTATCAGATTTTTTTGAATTTTATGGTGGCTAAACTTGAATATTCGAATCATTGTATTTATTTATTTTGATTTAATAGGATCAATTTTTTTTTTTTTTTGAAATTTATTAATTTATTATAAGCAATATTTTTTAGGACCACCATTATGATCAAAATACCGGTCCTGATGAATCTTCAGCACTTCCTTGATGGTAGAAATACTATTCTGATGGCGGCAATGCTGATCCTGATGGATAAGAAGTTTTTTTACGTACTGTTTCTGATAGGGTTCTTCCGAGGCCGATTTTTTTTCATATACTTAGTTATAGTAATGAAGTATCAGGTTCCAATCAATTAAGGATAACTATCAGATATCTGGATCTGAATTTATTCGGATAACCATTTACTATCTATTTACTATTGATATCTGGATTAATTAGATACAGATAAACGGATGACGGATTTATCCGGATCGGAACTCAACTATCAGGAACGGTACGCAAATTGACATTTTTTTATTCCATCAAAGAATAATATCAATTGATTCATCAGTTTATATATCATTCCTGATGGATTCTCAGAAAGAAATTAGATCAGTTTATCATTATCTGTTAGATTTTAAAACGCATACGTATGATGATGTTAGTCAGTATGAATAAAACTAACAATGTATTTCATATTACAGAATATAACACCAAATAGGAAAGAATTGTCAAGAAAAAAAAATCGCAAATCCCGTACTACATAATCTATTTACGACATGGTGTTAAAATAATTTTTTCATCTAATCGGAAAAGTCCGTACGTACCAACGATCTGCCGATTATGATGTGATTATAACATGTGACATTACATATAAATTATCACATAATGATCCTTCAAAAACTGAAAAGGTGTAGCTTTATCGTTATGAATTGATAAGAATTGATGATTATTAATCGATAGATTCATCAATATAAGATTAATACAAAAGACCTAGCTCGTTTAGGCCTATTGTTACCTTTCGTTGATATTTAACTTAACGCTAATACAGTAATAGAATCAGACGTAAAAAAATAAACAGCACGTGATCAATAATAAATTTCGTCGTGAACGAACGTATTGACAAATTAGGTAACTATCATATGTATTAACAAAATCATAATGCTTAAGATTTCAAATTACTTTAAAGTTACTATATAATTAATTTATTATTGCTATACATTTACTATATATTAGCAATATGCCACCAACTACAACATACGTATATATAAAGTTTATTTTTGCTAAATAAAAATGAGGTTGCTAAATAATTAATATGTAATATATGTGAGTAAAACTGAAACTTGTCTTATTTAGATCTATATATAAAACCTATATATTAAAGCCCGCCTATACTCTTATCAGCAAATCTAATTCTGGATTTTAAAACTATATATATATTACAAAAAAAAATCAAAAAATACGCCAGAAATTTTAAAATTGTAGATTTAGCTAGCTTCAGCCACCACATAGCCAAACAATTTAAAATTGAAAATTTTTATAAAAAAAATCTGAATTTGACTAAATTTTATGCAATATATACAATATATACCGGTATTTCTGTATAATTTTAACAGTATCTGAAGGAGACGAAACAGAGTAAAAAGGCTCAAAACTATCAAAAATGTATAATATGTAAGGAGAAATTCTCGTGACTAAAAGCATAATGCAATTTATATTAAATCTTTAATTTTACATTTTGGATAAATTTTGATTGGACAATTCATGTAATACTTGGCACAGTAATACATATTTGATATCTATAATATTAATTTATTAAACAAAAACCCGAAAAAAAATAAATACGTAACAAATAAAGGTTTTATTTCAAATATCACAAAAATAAGCTTTTTTATTATAATATACTACATTTAGTTGATTACATATTATGTGTATACGTAAAATTTTGAACAATTAAAAAAACTTGACAAATTTTTAATGACCAACTTTTTAATTTAAACCATACAAAAAAAAATTATTTTCCTTTAAAGTTCACTCAGGAGTTTTACGTATAAATGAAATGATTTTCTAAAAACTGAATCGGTCGTTCAAGTTAACCTTAAAAAGTTTATGTCTCAATAAATTTTTTGCAAATCTGCTTAATAAAAAAAATCAATCTATCGTGTCACATTAGTGATTTTAGAGTAGTGCAATTAACTAAATAAAGTTTTTTTAATCAATAATAAATGACTGGTTATCTAATAATTTTTTGGGTTACAGTACCTAGCATGATTGGTCAGCTATCATTTGTGTAAAATATTTAGGTTATGCATACCTTCTTTCTCGATATACTGTATTTCTTATAATTATAAAGTTGAATTTACAAGAAATTTTTATGCTATAATCGTTTTATATATGTACCTTGACTGTTGTTAATATACATCGCTAAATAAATAATATTTTTTTATCATTAAATATGGCTTCAACGACGAGTGGTTTATCACGGCGACGTAATGCTGGTTCAGGGCTTAACTCGACAAATTCATCGTACGAGAGTACAGCTTCAACAATAGATCGTTCAGTTTCCATTGAAAATGGTGTAAGAATTGCTGTGGATCCTAATGACGTACCTGATAAAGAAGATAAAAATCAACCAAAATTAACGTTGATGGAGGAGGTTCTACTATTGGGTTTAAAAGATAAACAGGTAATTTTTATCAAATCTATCTATTCCTAAAGTTGCTATTTATTTTTTCTTAATCCACTGGTCCTACACAATGCATACTTTTGTAATTCTAATATGTGATTTTTGACAGTCAAGAAAGAATGGTTATAAAAAAAAAAAAAAATTATATATTGGATTCGTCTCGGTACTCAATTAAATAGATTAATTTTTTTTTATTTGACGAATTCATATCAAAAATTCATATCAGATGTAAATGACTTTAAAAGAATTAATAAGCATTAGTTTAATGGAACATCATTCTTTCATTAATTATTTGAATTTTTCTTTATACTTTAATTCGTTTAATCAGGGATATCTCTCGTTTTGGAACGACAATATTTCTTATACTCTTAGGGGTTGTATCCTTATGGAGCTTGCTTTTCGTGGACGAATAGCAATGGTCAAAGATTATAATCGTCGTAAAGTTCCTCTTTCAGAAAGATCTATTGAAGTAATCGATGATAGACAAACTAATGAAGTACTTCTAGATGAGGCTTTAAAAATGATGAAGCAAAGTGAAACAATGAGCGTAGGAAGTTGGATTGATTTAATGAGCGGTAAGTCGTTAATATTAATATAAATTATCCTTTTTAATTCGAATTCTTTTAAAGAATATCACTTCACTTTATTAAAGCGTCATAATTCACAAATTGCCATTTTATTTATTTACTCTTATATATATTTTATTTGCTTTAATTAGGTGAAACTTGGAATGTATTAAAGATTGGATACCAATTAAAACAAGTACGAGAACGTTTAGCAAAAGGTTTGGTAGATAAAGGTATTCTAAGAACTGAAAAGCGAAATTTTTTGCTTTTCGATATGGCTACACATCCCGTTAGTGACTCTTCCGCTAAAGATGAAATAGTAAAAAGAGTCATTAAAACTTTGACTCATGTTAATTCTTCTGCAATATCATCAGACCCTGATATACCTTTCAGTCAATTACGTACTGTCGCCATGGTATGTGCTGCTTATGCTGCAAATGTTTTGGAGAATGCTTTGGTACAATTGTCTCATGAGATGAGAGAGAGAGCATATACAAAGGTTGATGAATTATTAAGTGAATATTCATCTTGGCCTTTTTCAAAAAAAGTTAAAGTAGATATTCCAGAAGGAAAAGATTTACAAATAGAGGTGGTAGCAGCTGTCTTGAATGTTTTCACAAAGATGGATAGTATCTTGTAAATTATTTAATAACAAGCGGATTTTTTAAAACGCTTATATTTGATGAAAGGTGATTGATATTCAATTTTTTTTTTTAATTTGTTTATCTGGCTTTCTCATTATTTTAGAGTAGCTAAGGTTTTTCATGGATAATTAAGACCACTTTGTATTTTTTTTCCCATTACGTATTTTTTTTTTATAGACAATAGCTAATTCGATTTTTTTTTTTTTTTTTTTTATTCGTTGCGATGTATCGACGTACAGTACTTATATGTGGTTTTAATATATGTAGTGGCCGAATTTATGGGTTCAACATATTCTGAAAAAAGTTTTAATGTTAATACTTAGAATTGATTCTAAAATCTTTTTTATTAATTATTTATATATAGCAGATAGCACTATAATCAGTATTGATTTTTTAAATAATTTAAATTGTTGATATATAGTTAACTCAAAAATCTAAGATCGTTACGATTCTATTTTTAGTATAAATATAAAAAAAGGATAAAAATAAATCAACACTTTTTTTTTTGTTACATACTTACAAATAATCAAGCTTGCCCTGTTATTGGCTAATACGTAGTCTTGAATTTAGTAAATTATTTTCAGTCCGGAGAGTAGCAAATAACTATATAATAGACCCTAGCTATCGTACCAAAATTGTCGATGCAGATTCTCGATTTTAACTGTACTATGTAAACAACGAAGATTCTTTTAAAATTTTAAATCATTTATTTTTTTTTATTTATTTTTTATTTTTTTTTAACACTTAGTCTTGCTAGCACTTTATTAGATATATTTGTAAAAAATTAAAAAAAATTCGATACATTAATAAGGTTAACATTACTCAAATACTATAAGAGATATCCAAGTACAACCTGCCACACCAATTTATCCAAATGATAAACCAGTAGGTTACAGTATGTCAGAAAGCCTAAGTATTTTTTTTTTTAAATTTCTTCTTCTTGTAGAGCTAAATAAAGAAAGGGGTGTATAAATGGACTATAACTATTTTCTGGGTAGTATAAAAAAGAAAAAAGAGAAAAATAACTAAATATATTAATAAGAAAAGTAAAAAAGAAAAAAAACAAAAAACAAAAAAAAAGAAATATAAACTACTCTGACTACTTTAACTTAATTAAAGAAAAAGTAAATCTAAGAAAAAACATTATTGTAATCTGTGCTAGGCTTGAAATAAAAATTATATAACAAATGCAATATCTGTATATTTTTACTATTTTTAAACTGTATTTAGGCAAATTTGCCTGAAATTTTAAAAAGTATTTATAATTTTTTAAATAAAATTAAAAATTATTAATAATATAGAGTATATTTTATATATATAAAAAGTTGGAATTTCATGGTCTAGTAGTCTAAATACCTAACTCTCCATGAGTAGGTTTTGGGTTTAAGTTCTAGCAGATGCAGATTTTACGAATATTTGAATATACTCACACATGAAAAGTCCAAGTGAGTACAAGTTTGGATTAGGAATTTCTGAAAAAAGGTTCATTGTAGAGAGTTGGCACTATGTATAATAGTGGTTATTATAGAAGATTCTTTTTTTTTTTGCATCCTCTATAACTGCATTAATAATTTGTATTGGTTCTTCTGTTAAGCAGCCTAGAAGTTCTGCATAATTTGGCTCTTTTAGAATATTATGCTTTGCCAGGATTCCCATTAAACACTTGTTAAAAATTTTTGTTATACACTTTCTAAAAGTTTTTAAAAGTACAATTGGTCTTATATTGTCTAGCTAAAAGTCTTAATCCAGGTCTTTTGGAATTGAGTAAATTTGTACGAGCTTCTACTTAACCGGAATTACTCTTTTACATATGCACTTTTCTGCAAATTTTCTAAAGATACTTTGTAATACTGCTCTAGCTTTTTTGATTAGTATGTAGCTTATTTTTGATATACCTGAGGCCATTTTTGTTTTCAATTCTGTAAGCATCTCTTGCTATTCTTCTTCTTTGATCAGGTTATTTAAATACTTAAATCATTCTTTGTTGATTCTGCTTATTGGCTTGTAAATTTCCTCCCACTCATTTGTTATCTTGTCAAATTGTATTTGATATTTTTTAAACTGGTTTTGGAAATATTCTTTTGTTATCTTCTTTACACTATCTAAGTTATTAATAAGTATAAAGCTACTAGGGTTTCTAGATTTAGTTTAGTTCAGATTTAAGTTTAATGAACCTGAACCTAAACCCAATATTGTACATTTTGGCTGTTCAAAACCTTTTTTGACTTGTCCATGTCTAAAATTGTCCAATATCCAAGATTGTCCAAAGCTTGTCTAGGCTTTAATAATTAATAAATCTGTCTAAAAAATATATAACTATATATTTTTTTAGATGCTAAATTCATTTAATTAAAATTAAAATAGGTTATCTTAATAAAATTTTAAGTAATTTTACTTTATTTAATTATTCAAGATTGTCCAAGATTGTTCAAAATATTGTCCAAATCTGTCTCAAGACAACACTGCCTGAACCTAAACATAAACCACAAATTTTGCAGATCATTAAACCTAAACCTAAACTGAACTTTGAATTTATGAACCTGAACTAAACCTAAACTTAAGAATCCACCAGGGTGGCCACGAAAATTATGGGTCACGTGACATCATCGATCTATCCGGCCTGCTAATCCATGATGATAGCAATCCAAGATTACAGGTCATGTGATGACTCTGTGAATCAATCAATTTAATAACAGTCACACAATTTGTTACATCAAAATTTTTATCATATGATTTTTATAAATTACACAAATCGATAAAATTACATTTTTAAAATTTCTAAAAAATCTTATTCAAAGTATGCTATACACTTTAGTACAAATTTATTCCCGAGATTTCAACGAATCAAATAACATAAAAAATATAAAAAATAAACTTCTTGTTGTAAAATACTATGTCTTCGAATATAGGCAATTATTTTGTATATTGTTGCAAGATTCTTTTCAAGCTTACAAGTTTTTCATATAAAAAATGATTCATTAGGTGCATTAGAGTGAGAGCTTTCGACAAAATGCATCTTCGAAATATGGGTACATTATAAGCATAGTGGTGAAAATTAGAAAAAACTATTTTACAATAAGTAGATCGCTTATTAATTCATATATAGTTTGTTTCTGTACTTAGTTCAGTCTTTTTAGTCTTTATTTTTACTTGCAAAAAGTTTTTTAAAACATTCATCTTATTTATTATGTTATAACACCAATCTCAAATTCGTTTTGAAGTCCAATAATTTTAATCATTAATAACCTTCATGAGTAACATAGTAGAACTTTTATATTCTTCAAAATGTTTTAGGATCTTTTTTTCAACAACTGCTAATTTGCATATTGAATATTTTCTTAGACATGATATGTACTCTAAAGATAGATCGATGATATTACAGTTAGACCTCTCTAAGTGCACACTCTTGGGACCACACTTTAACAATGTGCATTTAGAAAATAATAAGAAAAAATGCATTTATAGAGGTTAAGTATATATTTGGGCCAGAATCTAAACGTGCATTTAGAGAGTATGTGTACTTATAGAGGGCTGACTGTAGTTGAATAATCCATAGTATAAAAATGAATTGCGTAACTACAAAATTTCTATTATGCTATATAGTTAGAAACGAAAGACATCTTTTTCAAACTATCAAATATTTCTATTTCAAAGATTTAACTTCTAAATTAATATCAAATTCATTCTAAATAGAGGTCTGCAACCCGGGCTTATATCCATATTTAACAAAAAGTATAAGAATTTGTATAAGTTGGCACAAGCATGGGCACAAATACAAAAATTTGCCATGAATTTTGTAAGTATGAAGACACGACTAACACTTTAATGCTAGTACTCTGTGCTTATGTCTATAAAAGTGTCTAGTGCTTTTGTAATTATAGCATAGACATAGCACAAGACACTAGTGCCTGGTATGGATATTTGCCGATCTCTAATTTTGAATTCCAAGATTAAATGAAGCTAGTAAGTATACTTTATTGTTCAATATTTTTTATAAATAATGTTTATTAAAATTTAATATAAAATTCTTTTATTACAAAAAGATGGGATAAAAATATATAAAGCCAAAAATTTTTATATGTAAGTTAAATAATTATTTACTTGTAAATTCATCATTTTCGGATTGATCATTACTTTCTCGTTTTCTCTTTTGAATTTTTTGTCATTGTTTAAAATTTGCTACAGTATCTTTAACTAAATTTTTACTTGCTCTTCCTTTTGTATTTTTCTTTTTAGTTAAATAAACTTCTTGTGCAAGTAGATCTTGCATACGTTCTATTCCGTGTTGATAACAAGTTTCTATATTGGAGTATCCTTTTAAAGTATTTTGCGTTGTATATTCAAAAAGCGAATTACTATTGGGGTCTAGATTTTGAAATGCAGCATATATTTGATTACTTAAAGTCCACAATTGCTCATATCGATCTGGTGCAGGACGGTCATCAATATTTATTACAGTATCAATAAATTCATCAAAGACTGATAATCGTTCAATTTCATCTTGACTTCCTTTTATTTGTCGATGTAAGTTTTTATTATCTCCAGACTTTCTTGTCATTACTTGTTTAACAAACTTGACACTATATATTTCTAATACTTCATAATATGCTAGATAATGACCTTCACGTGTAATATTAATGGATAGTACTTGATTTAATCTTTTTTGAAGTTGAGAATTTTTATGCAATTTTCCTAAAAAAATAGCATCCGATTTTGTGTATCTATACTTGCCAATAACTGGAAAAAGAGGTGCAAATACAGCAAGACTTGCGATTTGCAAATCAAAATCTCCTCTTCGAATGGCAATTTTATGCGCTTTCTAATAACCAACCCACTGGTAATAATTAAACCAAACTTTTAAAATATTGTTAAAACTATTTTTAATATCATTAATCATATCCACCGATTTGATTTTTAGGGGTCTTTTTTCGATAAACCGTTACACAAACTTCTGCTTAAGTGACGTGAAGAATAACGAAAGAACCTTCAAATAAAATAGTTTTTGACCTCTACATG